ATGATCTTCCTAAAAGAGATTTTTAATTACCATTAGGGCTGAAACAAAAGATTGTATTTTTCAAGGTGTGTTAATGAGTAAAATGGAACTGAACTCACGGAATGTATCAGGGAAACTTGCTGATACGGACTACTATGGGACTTCCCGTGGAGAATTAAGGATCTGAGTGTAAAAAAAGGCTCTCATCAGAGAGAGTAAAAAGTTCGTCTTCGTTGGCCTAGTCCATGTATGGGGAAAAGTAGAAACTTGGACGAACAGGTTTTTTAATACTTTTTGTGTGGTCTCCTCATCTTCAGGAAAGTTCAATTGCATAAGATGATTGAAGTTTCCCATAGCAAATTATGTGATCACAAAATATACTAGAGACAATTTGGGGAAACTTTAATTTTTATTATCTAAAGCCCAAGAGAAACTTGATAGAGGTTTACTTTAGGTTTGGGACTAATGGAAAGAGTAAACTCTAGAGCTGTTCTTTATATTTACTCTTTTGAACCACACACTTGGGTTGCAGAATGTGGGTGCAGATGCAGATAACTTGTCCAGGTTATGCTATCTCTGGTAAGACCACCCAGCTAGTTGGAAGGCTGCTCTATGCCAGATGCTGCCGTTGGAGAACCCACCTGCAAATCATCCTGTGCTGGACACAGTCAGGCACTCCCCCAAATAGTCACCTCTCCAGCAGGGTTCAACCAATGCTAATTCAATGCTATAGTTCCTCTGTAGCATTTATGGCATGGATAGTCTTTATATATTTGAGATTCAATTGGCCATAAATATAGCCATTGAAAACTAGGCTCTTTAACTTTAGCTAAGTCTGTTATCAAACTTACTCAGCTCAGGCTGTAGTAATTTCGAAGTTGCATTTTGCTGGACACCAAGGCCTTTATTATCTATATTTTAAACCACAGGATCCTTCTCATAATAGCTAAAACTATGAGGCTTGAAGAAGAATTCCCATCAAGTCTCTGGCTTTGGCCAACAGAAATATGTTATTTATCTTTTTTATTGTCACCTTTTTAGCTGTGCCAATAAATAAACTGTGTGTGTGTGAAGAGAGAGGGAGGAAGAGAAAGGTGGGGGTTACTGGGACAGGGGAGGCTATACATGTACATCTGCATGCTGTCTGGCTGTTTGTATGCTCATGTGTCTGTGCATGTGAAACCCATTTATGGAAGGAGAGAAGAAACCGTAGTTGGGTAGTTGAGGTGAGAAATATAAGTTTGTGAAAAATAAAATTTTTGAATCTATAATAAGTAACTCCCTAGCTGTAGAGGTCCTATTTTTGACAATTTTTGTGTAGGAGAATTTATAGTTGAGAAAAGTAGAATGAAATAACTGAAATCAGAAAGTAACCAATTAAAGCTTTTATAGTTTTATGTTTACTATACAAAGCAGAAAAGAAATTATTACCACTAAAGATAAGATCAGCAAATAGTAATTTGTTCTGTGCTGTTATTTTTTATATACCACCTAAGTCGCTCTTTAGGCTCTCTGTCTTCACTGCAGTCTCAGCAAGATGCATGCACAGCTGTTGGATCAAGTTGAGGATTATGTACAAGTTAATGTCATGTTTACAGAGTCAGAGTCCATGAGGACCAAGGTCAGATCAGCAATGCAGCCAGACACAACAACCAAAGAAATAATTTTAAAATAACTTAAGCTTTTCATGTGTATTTTTTAAAGTCCATGAAGAAGGCATATCACCTACTTAAAATCCTCTTTTTCTCTCTCATAGGGTCACTTCTGTACCTCTCCTTTCAAAATTCCTCTGAAAAACTTCCAGGAAAGTTTTAGTCCTTAAACTCCTCTAGTACACAAATTGTTCTCTTTCTGCTCGCATTCCTTCTTCTAATAGTGCATCATGAAAGCCCCAAAGACCAGTCAAATGAGACAGGGCCTTATTTGGAGATCAGTAGTGGGAGAAAATTTGACTAGATAAAGCCAGAACTTATTTTAGTAGACAGGAAAGAGTGGAAAGGCCAGTATCATTTACTGTTTAATAAATTTGCTAATCTCACATTAATATTATTATTTTTTCTGTTTCTTTATCCATATGCTTAATGCCCTGCTGGTTTAATGACATAGATGCTGACATCTACAGCTATATGCCAATCCCTTCCTCCCCACATCCATGTCCCCATATCTCTACTTCATTTCCTTCAGTAATTTTTGTACATGATCCAGCTCATTCATGCCTCTTCTAAGAACTAACTTTCTTCCTTTTAACATACCTTATCTTCTCCATGCCTTAATTGCAAAAGAAAGTATTCTTCCTTTATTATTTACTTCCTTTTTCTCTTCCTAACCCTAGTTATTTCTTCTTTAATAATCAACAAGAGTGATTTGAAAAATCACATATACTAGAATTCCAAATTGAACAATTGGCACAAAGATACGCATAAATAAATTAACAAATTCTCAAATTTTACCAAAGGATAACTTTTTTATAGGGAAATGACTACTATATTTCCAAGATTGTCTTAGCTTATACAAGTAAACTCTTTACCAGGAAGATTATGTTTTGTTGAAGGCATTATTGCATTACTTGAAATTGGTCAGTACAATTTGCTATGTGTTTCCTTCACCCATTGATTGCAGATGTACCCTTCTAGTTTACTGCAACAGCTGCTTCCACATCCTGTTCACAGTGGTGTTGGGTTGCATCAAGGATCACTGAAATGCCAGAAGACTGGCTGTGGTCCAGGATCTTGGTGGTGGTGATATTATCTGGTCATTTTAGATAAAGTATGGCTTCAATTGATGGTGATGAAATATATTCTGAATACCATACAGTAATTATGAAAGACGAGCTTTCACAAATATGCAACAGGCTGTAATCCGCCACTGTTCTTTAAACCTTTAGTTTGGTTAAGAATCTGAAGCTAATAACATAGACTACTCCACCTTCCAACTTAGCCGATTTGGATTTACTATTTCATTTAGTGCATTATTTTACAATGTGTGCTGCCTAAGTGTGCATGTAGTAATAGCTTTAATTCTAGTTTGGCTGATATAAATGTGATATAGCCACAGCATAATGTTCAAAATTAACCCCTCAAATTGCATGTTTAATGATAAATGAAAGAGCTGGAACTAGTTTTTGCATGATTATTGCCATGCTTTGTGTCACATGCCCCTGGAAACCTGGCCAAAACATATTGCATCATGCATAGATCAATGCCTGGACCTGGCCAGGCAGCTTCTAATAACTCCAATGATTACAGAAACTGTAGTTTAGGTAGGTAGAAACTGTAGTTTAACTGTGATCGTATGACTCTTTTTTCGAGAATATGAATGCATCAAAGAGGCTGCCATTTGTTTAAAAAAAAAAAAAATAGAAGCGGACATTGCTGCAGAAGGAACAGAACAAAACATTAGGAAGAATAAGACCACAGAGTCAAAGTTCAGATAAAGACTTGGCTACAAGCAGGGAAAAATAAAGAAGTGGCCACAAACAGATTCTTTTGACTGGCTTTCCTGTGGATTATAATTTAAATCCACCAAAATTAGATGATGGATTTTATGTCACAAATCACATTGATCATACGATTTCTGCGGTGTTGATTTATGAAAAGTGTTGCTCCCCCCCCCCAATAATAAATAAAAACGTTGGGGAAAACTCTAGGAAGCTTTTTTTCCTTTTCTTTATATATTTAAAAAAAGTTTTTTCAGCATATTACAGGGGTACAAATGTTTAGGTAACATATATTGCCTTTGCCCCGCCTGAGTCAGAGCTTCAAGTATGTCCATCGCCCAGATGGTGCGCACTGCACTCATTATAGGAAGCTTTTTAAAATAAAATATTTACATACTATTTGCAATATTTTGTGATAAAATATATGCAATCTAAAATTTACCATTTTAACTATTTTTAAGTGTACAACTTAGTGGCATTCAGTACATTCACCATATTGTGCAAACTAAAGAGGAGCACGGCAGAGAAGGACAAGGTTGGTTTGAATTACCTCCTCCCCATAATTTTTATTGTTTTACAACCAAGATTTTTGCTACAGGCAAGATTTAAAACAGTCACCTTAAAAAAAAATACTTGTAGTAAATTAAACCACTTATTTATTGCTGGGCTTGTGGCTTATTCTTATCAAGCCAAATATTAAATTTATTTTTGGAGGGCCTCAGACTATACTGGAAAATGTAGTTATAATTCAAAAACAGTTTAATTCATATATATTTTAACTACATACAAATGCATACATATAGTCATTCTCCTTTTCTGATTATAAACACAGATACACATTCGGGAAAAAAATTTAAACTCAAGTGGGGTTTTTTTTGCTTTTTTGTATTTTTAGCAATAGGTGTTCCACTTTTTAAAATGAAGTACTTTTTAGTTATTTGATGACAAGGAACCTTTCTAAATAATCAGTCACAATTGGAAAATTAGAGATAGCTGAACACCATTTTAATTTTAAAAACTATGTTATTATGAATCACAGTGCTGAGGGCTATTTTGAGAGACTAAATCCCGCATCTATAAAATAAAGATAATTTCATGTGTTAGCATTGCTAATATTTACTCATATTCAAATTTCAGTGTCTATTCATTAGCTCTGAAGCTGGCAGCAATGGACCCTGATGCATGTACAGTTTTTAGGCCCATCTCTAAGAAAAATAATACAAATATACAAATACAAAAGTCGATATTTCTAAAGAATGAAAAAAAGCAGCCACAGGTTTCCATTTTTTTTAAAGTGGCAATTATCAAAAATATTTTAAAAATCTAGAAATAAGGGTTAATATTTTTCTAATTAGTCTGACTCATCTCTAAATTACTCTTTTTTCATGATATTTTTGGCGGTATGTTTTGGTAGAATTTTCATGTGGTAATGATTTGGTAATACTGTTTTCTATAGAGAGGATAAAGAGATTATCACTCTTCTTAAATGGTTAATCAAATATTTTTTATGTTAATAATATAGGCAAACATCTTATAGCTTCACAACTCTACTGTTAATGCCATTTAAGTGTTTAGGATTTTTAAAAAAATTGACTAAACCTCCATCCAGCTTCTGATTTTATATACAAGCTGTGTAATTTCATAGCAGGTCACATTTTCTTGTTCAAGTCCAATCTTAAATGCTCCTTATGTTGACAAAACTCATTAACCAGTTTGTTTATACAAATTGTATATATTTTTTCACTATTTCTCAAATCCATGTTTTTACTTAGTATATAAAAATTTACTGATTTTCACAATTTTCATAATTTCCCATGTTGTTGCATTTTCATTTTCCAAATTTTCTCAAATATCCAGATTCTTTTACTTATCTTCATGATTTAGGAATCAAAATTTTTACTGTGGGATAATAAGCATTTCTGACATTTTGAAGCATCTTCCATTCTTTTTCCATTACATTTGTTTTGGTTCAACTGGGATACTTCCCGACAATCATGTTTGACTTTTGTCAGGATCAATTATTCTGAAAAAAAGAAACAAAGTTAATATAAAATTGAGACAAAAGTCACTTTTAAACTGCCACCACAGTCTACTGAGGAATATGATTGTGTAATTAAATTACTCTAATACTGCACACAATGACTTATTGATGGGCATTAGTAGACATTTTGTCACTGGAATTAGTATTTCTTTAGGTTATTTCACTGAGTCAGTATTTTGTATTTTTAGGTTATAAATCTGTATATTTGTATATTTAGGTTATAAATGTCATACTTCTTCAGTTTATTTTATAGCAGATATCCTAAAATACAATAAAATATATTTGAAAGCATAAAATGTGTGACTTCACACACAGTTACACTAATTGCTTACACCACTAGGTTATTAAGTATGAAATGTCTGATTTCCTTAAGTACTAAGTTTGACAGTTGGTATCTCTGATATTTCACTTTGACAATTCAAGTTTTATTTTTATTGTGAAGGCACATCCTTCATCTTTCAAATGAACATTTTGACTTGTGATTATCTTTCAAATTTTTTTAGAGCAATTTTTGTGAAACCATGGACAAGTAGTGTTATTTTTGAATATGAGTTCCATCATGGAACCAATGCAGCGCAGACAGCTCAAAATATCAACAAAGTGTTTGGGAAGGATGGATCTAATCAAAGCACAGTACATAGATGGTTTGAGAAGTCCTGTTCTGGTGATTTTAATCTTGAAAATGAGCCATGTGGGCGACCTAAGATCAAGGTAGATAATGGTGAGCTGAAAGCTGTAGTGGAAGCGAATCCGTGTGAATTAGCAGCAAGGTTTAATATTACTATTACAACAATATTTGACCATTTGAAACAAATCGGCAGGGTAAAGAAGCTGGATAGATGGGTTCTGCACGAATTGAATAAACATCAGAAGAGAAAGTGCCTCGAAGCTTGCTTTCTTTGCTGTCATGACATAAAAGCGAACTATTTCTACATCATATTGTTATGTGTGATGAAAAATGGATTCTTTGTGACAATTGCAATCAGTACAATAGTTGGATAAAGAATGAAGTGCTAAAACACAGTCCAAAACCAAATATTGATCAAAAAAATCTAACGGTGTTTGTTTGGTGGTCCACTCATGAAGCCATAGTGGATAATAGCAGCAGTGGGGGTCAATAGACTACAGTGGCTATCTACCGCAACCAGTTGGATGAAATGATGAGGGTGCTTACAAGTAGGTAGCTGAGATTAGGTCAATAAAGACAGCCTCTTGCAAGACCACATGTTGTAAAAAACAACGCTGCTCAAACTGTAGAAGCTAGACTTGGAAACTATCTGTCATCCACCATATTCACTAGACCTTGCACCAACTGACTACCACTTCTTCCAGGCTTTGGACCACTTCTTGCAAGGAAAAATATTCAATTCTCAATAAGCTGTGGAAAACACCTTTCTAGTTTCATCGACACTAGCTCCCCACGTTTCTTCACTGCTGGCATAAACAAACTATAGTTAAGATGGCAAAACTGTGTAGATAGTTTAAGCACACACTTTGAATAATTGTACTGTTTCTTGTTTGAGATATGATAAACTACACTTGTGATTTGAAATGGGACATTTCAGGTATCCCACAATTATAAGTGTTTTGTTAAGTACCATTTTGCTGAATCTCCATGTTGAAACAATATACATTATGCATTTATAATTTTACATGTTTCATTATCAAGCATATTGCTAAGAAGAGAGGGTTTTTTTGACAAGACATTAATTAAAACTGAATCTTTCTCTTTTATACTCCAAATAATTGGAAGAAGTTTCCTCATACTTCTTGTTTTATACACTTAAGTCCTCCTCTCTCTGCTTCCCCTCCCTCCTTTGTTTGACCCATATACTTCCAGTGCTCTTGCTATAGAATACATCTATAGGACAATATGGGTATGACCCTGCACGTTTGTATGAGTCAGTACAGTGGGCAAAAAAATATTCCTAGAAGCCAGTCCTACAAACTGCATAAATACGTCCTAGATTCACTACCAAATGTATGTTTAACTCAGATTTCCATCAGATCCCCAACTCGTTCAGAACAACTCTAAAGCCACCCAACCCGAGGAAAAGTGTGACAAAGGAAATGTTGAATTGGAAAAAGACACAAGTCTTAACCAAGTGCATTTAAAACATCTTTCTTTTGCAAATTTTACCAAAAAAAAATATCATCATATGTAGTGGGTTGGAAGGTAGCCCCCTAAAAGATACAGTTATGTCCTAGCCCCCTGACCTGTGAATGTGATCTTATTTGGGAAAAGAGTCTTTGCGAATGTAACCAAGAAAAGGACCTTGAGAGATCATGCTGGATTACCAAGGTTGATCCTGAATCCAGTGACAAGCATCCTTGTAAAAAAAGGAGAAGACACAGACACAGAAGAAGAGGCCATATGAAGACAAAGTGATGAAGCCACAAGAAATACCCACGACTACCAGAAGCTGGAAGAGGCAAGGAAGGGTTCTTCCTTACAGCCTCCAGAGGGAGTGCACCCTGCAACTCTTTGATTTTGGACCTCTGGCTCCAGAGCTGTGAAGAAATTTCTGTTGTTTTAAGTCTCTAGGGTTTTGGAAATTTGTTATGGCGGCCCTGGGAAACCATTATAATAAACCATAGCATCACTAGAGTCCTTCTCGGGGCCATGTAAGAGGTCCAGGTCAGTGAGGGGCCCTGAGGTTGAAGCTTCCTTAGCTCTACAGTAGATTTCCTCTGCCTTGAATAACAACAGGATAGCTGAGCTTTTCTTGTATAATGTTATATTTTGAAATAATTTTAAATTTATTCTCTACCTAGATTCCCTAATTGTTAATATGTAATGACATTTTGATATGTGTATACATGTATATAATCAATTATTCAGAAAAATATTATTCAGAAAAACAAATTTCTCTAATCTTTCAAAAAAAGTATGTATATGATGAGTAGTTACAGACATGATTCCCTCTGCTCCAAATACTTATGCATGCAATTCCTAAGAAAAAAATCATTTTTTACATGTTTATAGTATGATGAAAATCAGGAAATTAACAATGATTCAATGTCATTACTTAATTTAAAGACATTTTTTATTTTTTCCCATTTGTTTTAATAAGCTCTTTAAGGAAAAAAGTCCAATCCATGATGTAATTAAGGATCATATGTCATGTTCTTTAGTCTCTTTTAATCTGAAACTGTAAAATCATAAACCGAAAAGAAGAAAAAAATTCAGAGGAACAGTTTCAGTCTGGTTCCAGTTCCAAGGGAGAAGAGATACTTTGATGCTCTGTAAATATCCTATTTCTCATCATACTTTTACCCACTTGTTCTAGCATGTATTAATGATTCTTGTCTGAACTTATTATTACCATGATTATTGCCAAATGGTGATTTTTTTAACTCCATCATTCCTTAACAATTAATAGTTGACATTCTACTTAATAAATAATTTTTCCTTCTCTGTCATTTATGTACCCCAGATTTGGCCAGTAAGAGCTTCTTTAAACTGATACTTACAGACACCATAAACATTTTATGGGATCTAATAGGAAGGACCTGAGTGAGTAGGTAAGGTACAATAAAAAAATGTATTTAGCCTTTGAACCTGTCACAGGCACAGAGCTCCTAAAACCCTCAGAATTTCCTGAGTGGTAGGAATGGTCTTCTGTTACTCATATTGAGTCCCTTTTAACCACACCTAAGTTTATGTTAATGAGGTGACTTGGCAGCCCCTAGATAGCTTCATGATGGTGGCTGATCACCAGAAAAATATCAAGGTGGTTAAAGGGTTAAAACTTTCTAACCTCCCCTCCAAACCCCTAGGAGGGGAGAGGGGCCAAAGATTTAGTTCATTCTTTAGTAGCCAATGTTTTAATCAATCATGCCTACAAAATGAAACCTCAATTTAAAAAAAACAAAAAAAAAAACCTAAAAAATGGGATATGGAGACCTTCCCAATTGGTGAACAAATCAAGGTGTGATGCATGCTCCATGCCTCTCTTAACCCTCACACCCCTCCCAGTGCATCTCTGCCATTTGGCTGCTCCTGAGTTGCAACCATTGTGATAAACCAGTAAACATAAGTAAAGTGTTCTCCTGAGTTCTCTGAGGAGTTCTAGTGAATTACCAAACCTAGGGCAGGGGTGTGGGAATCCCTCAATTTGTCACCAAGTTCCACAGAAGTTTAAGTAGCTTGGGGCCCCAGGTCTTGGCAATTGGAATATAAAATGAGGGCAGTCTGGTGGGACTGAGCCCTTAGACCTGGGAGTCTGACGCTAACTCTGGGTAGTGTCAGAATAGGACAGAATTGTAGGACACCCAGCTGGTGTCCATCACTGTGTCAGAAAGACTTCAGAGTAGGAATAACCCAGTCTCCCAGAGGCTAGACACACAGAATCTGTTTACAATCCTTTCCTAAAACTATAAAGTCTTTGAATAAAAAATCCATCCCAGATGAAAACAGCTTCAACAACCCTGGACAGTGCAGAGGAATTTAGGAGGAAGAAATGAAACTAAGACAGTAGGGGGTTTACTTATCACACCCACTCAGCCTAATGTCCTCTCTGCTGTTGTTAGGATCTGATGATCCTCCCAAGTCTTTGCCAAATTGTCATGGAAAATAGAATGATAGACTCAAATTTTACAGATGGACTTTGTCAATTAAAAGGATGCAAGAACCAGAGAGATGTGCACAAGCTCAGTGGGACTCCTGGACACACCTTAGTTTCGTAGTTGAACTTGGTAGATGTGTGATTTATATCCAAAATTGAGTCAGAGATTGCATTTTCAATTTTTAATTCTATGAACTTCCAGAGTACTTTACTAGAAATTGCCAGAAGTAAACTTATATAGTTTCCCCAATGAGCTGCATCAGGAATTTTTAATAGGAAATGCTGTCTCCTGTGAATTTAACTGAGTCACTGATATATAGTTTAATAATATCGTCTAAGTATTCCAACTTTAAAGCAGGAAGCTATTTCTTAAAGAGTTTTTTTCTATACTTTGTTGTGTATTCAAAGATTTTA